CGGCAAATGTCATCAGCGTTCCGGGTGGACGCCATATGGCGTCCTCCCGCACATGCGCAGATTGCGCTCCTGCAGAGCGGCGCAGCGGCGCGATCTGTCACCGGCCGTGTACCTCGGACACGGCCGATTACAGATCTGAGTATCGGCCCCGTTGCCGGTACCATGTGACCTGCTGTGACCAATCACAGCAGGTCACATGACAGTTGTATACAATGGATGGCTTCATTCATGCCATCCATTGTATACTAGTGTGCCTAGCTGTGAATGGTCACAGCTAATCACATGCACATGTCATGTGATTAGCTGTGGCCAAATCACAGCTAAGCACAAAAAAAAAAAAAAAAAAAACCCTGAATGAATCGATGTCATTCAGGTAAATGCTTGCTTATAGCAAAGTAATTCTTTGCTATAAGCAAATTGTGTAAAAAAAAAAAAAAAAAAAAATACTGATCACTTCCCCAAAGTAGTACAATGTTACTATGGTAACATTGTACTACTTTGGTCATAGTGAAATATGAAAAAAAATCTTAAAAAAAGAAAACAAATTTAATAAAAAAGAATTAAAAAATATATATATATTTTTTTTTTTTTTTCCATACTGTCACAAATCAGTGTCCCTGATCACCGCCATGCCAGTTCTATGATGACGCTGTACTGCACTGGTGACAATATGTAAAAAAAAAAAATAGTGAAACAAATTTTTTAATTTTTTAAGTTTCCGAAAAATCATGACAAAAAAAATACAACTTCAAAAAATTCGCCATGCCTCTTATGAAGTATGTTGGACTGTCTACTTTGCAAATAGGGGTCATTTGGGGGATATCTGTACTGTTCTGACATTTTTGGACTGTCAGTACTTCAGGATTGATCAATATTCAGATCTACACCATAGTTTGTGAACTCTATAACTTTCCTACAAACTAAAAAATACATCCTAATTTGGGTTATTTTCACCAAAGACATGTAGCAGAATACATCTCAGCCTAAATTTATGAAAAACAATTATTTATTTGCAAACTTTTATAACAGAAACAAAGAAAAACTTTTTTTTTTCAAAATTTGTGGTCTTTTTTTGTTAATTTAGCAAAATATAAAAACCCCAGTGGTGATTAAATACCACCAAAAGAAAGCTCTAGTTGTGTGAAGAAAATGATAAAATGTTTGTTTGGGTAAAATGTTGTATGACCGCGCAATTGTCATTCAAAGTGTGAGAGTGCTGAAACCTGAAAAATGGCCTGGGCAGGAAAGGGGTAAAAGTGCACGGTATTGAAGTGGTTAATATGAGTTCAGTTTTAAAGGGATGAGATGGCCACCCTACTACCACCTGACGTTAGCTGTAGACAAGGATAAGCAGTCTAGGGGTGAGAACTGATTAAGACACAGCTTTTTAGCATTAACGTACACACAATTGTCATGTATAAATGTTTCATAATGTCGTTTTGGAAAATGATTTGGACACCAATGATGAGTTAGGTGCAGGGGAGGACTGACAACTCATGGGGCCCCTGTGACCTTGCCCAAACTCAAAAAAGCCTATGAAAAAGGTACCAGGGGCATCTCATGGGCCCCCTACTGACCCCGGGCCCTCGGGCAGTGCTCGAGTTTCCAAAAGGTCAGTCCGCCCTTGGTTAGGTGGTAGGCCTGATCTGACTTTTTTTTCACTGGAGTTCCTGTCTTAACACATCCACACCTTACAAACACATTTGAGATGAGAATACATCACTATATATAAATGTACCATTTCTGGCTTGTCTTCTCACTGTACTGTGTCTAATTCTCTTTGAAAGATTTCGCTTTCTCCAGCCCTATTTGATAATCTTCACTTTAGTACCTCTTCACTACTAGCATTTCATGTTCATATTGTATACTAACTTACGTTAAAGAGACACTAAACTTTAGTTTTAAAAATGTACTTTTAAGTCAGAAAAGTAGGGTGGCTTCCACTGTATGTAGCAAAGGAAGGTACAGTAGCTACTATCTCTTGAGCACTCCTGAGATGGACTAAGGACTATGGACTATGTGATTTGTAGTGTGCACAGGGCATTGCACAACTAACATGCACTGTTCACACCAAAGTGAGAGGCAAATGAAGAGGTTCAGGAGCTCATGGGGAGCAAGAAGGCAGGGAAAACACAGAAATGATCAGGGCTTTTTTTCAGTGGGAACATGGGGGGAACGCAGTTCCGGCACCTCTAGCACTGAGTCTATGTAATGGCAAGGCGTGCTGGGATGTGCTGGAGGGTCTATTTATACTGGCTGCTAGGGGATCTATTGTTGCTGGTGGTGAATCTATTGTTGCAGGGGATGGGTCTTTTGTTGGGGGGGGGGTCAATTCTTGCTGGAAGGGATTTACTGTTGAGGATGGGATCTGGCTGCTGGAAGGTCTATTGATGCTGGCTGTTGGGAGTTTATTGTTGCTGGGATGGATCTATTGCTCCTTGTGGTCTATTGTTGCTGGGATGGATCTATTGTTCCTTGGGGGTCTATTGTTGCTGTGGGGTATCTGTTGTTGCTGGGGGTCTATTGTTGCTAGCTACAGGGAATCTATTTTACTATTTTTCTTGTTATCATTAACAAATTCCATACAAATTATCTAGCACCACAAGATTATACTTGGTTCTGTATTCTGTATTCTCCAAAAGGGACGGTACTGGGCCAAGGGTAGAGGGTGGAATCAAAGAACAGTGCTTGGAGGTGGGTAGGGGGCAGAGAAACAGGGAGATTTGGATGGAGGGAGTTCCTGTACCTATTCTCTGAAAAAGAAAGCCCTGGAAATGTTTTTATTAAAAATAGACTACAGGGCCCTGTGGATGTGCATGGATTCTTTTTGAAGAATAAAGACATGGTTTAGTGTCACTTTAAACATACCTATAAAATGTATTAAGAAGTTTCATTGCAGTGTACTATCATTTAGTGGGGCGGCACAGTGGTTTAGTGGTTAGCACTTCTGCCGTGCAGTAAATGGGTCATGGGTTCAATTCCCAACCATGGCACCTCCTGCATGGAGTTTGCATGTTCTCCCTGTGCTTGCGTGGGTTTCCTCCGGTTACTCCAGTTTCCCCCACACTCCAAAGACATGCTGGTAGGTTAATTGGCTCCTGTCTAAATTGCCCTAATTTTATCCCTAGCCAATGGAGGGAGTTGAGGAAAGACCTGGCAACCTACCCTGTAAAATAATTGCTAAGAGAATTCATGGAAAAAGTTGCTTACGAGTGACAGTCCATGCAATCGCCAAGAGTCAGACACGACTGAATGGATAGAGAGAGAGAGATCATTTGGTGAACACCAGACACAATGACAGGCTAAACGTTGTAAAGAATAAGATCTGTTTTGCAAAATACAGGATTACTGGAGGGAAATAATCCAATACATTCAGGAAATATGTGGGATAATTGTACAGAGAGATCCGTGGAGGTATTTATTTTATAACTTTGAGCCTTCAAGCGAAATGATATAAAAATAGGGTACTTTATCACTTTAATTAGTGCGGCTAAGGGTTTGATTCCCAAGTTCTGGCAGGTTCCTGAAGCATAAAACAAATATACATTTTTGTTTTATGATTTATTTGAGGATTAAGGGTTTTTTTCTTTTTTTTTTTTTCCTTTTATGCTAGCAGCTTATTTGTTCTGTGCGCTAACTCACTTTACTTGTTTTTTATATAGGTTCCTGAAGCACCAAGAATTAACAAATGGATAAATAGAGTTGAAAATATCTATAGGATGGAGGAGCTATATCACATGGAGGAGGATAAAATGGAAACATTTGGGAAAATGTGGTGTAGTTGGTTGAAATTTAAAACCTCTGAAAGATACATGGAACTGGTCAGAATTGAGGGGGACATTTAGAAGTCAAGAGAGAGCCTTAACCACTTCCAGTCCAGATACTTTTACCCCCTTCCTGACCAGGGAAATTTTCACACTTTGAATGACAATTGCACAGTCATGCAACACTGTACCTATATGAATTTTTTACCATTTTTTTGAGACAGATAAAACTTTATTTTGGTGGTATTTATTCACCACTTTTTATTTTTTTGCTATGTAAATGAAAATGTCCAAAAAGTTTTTTAAAAAAAGTGTTTTTCTTACAATTTTGCAAATAAATAATATTTCATCATAAATCTTGGCCAAAATTTATTCCGTTATCTTCTTAGTCAAAAAAAAAAAGCCAAAATTAGTTTATAACCAAAAATTACAATTTTTAAACATTTTTTTTTTACATTTTTATTTTTTTTTTATATTATTATTTATTTTATTATTTATTTATTTTTTTACATACTGTCACCCTAGCAGTACTGTGTCACCATGGTGACACTACTACTTTTGGGGGGTGATGAAAAAATGTTTTTTTTTACACTGATTGCTTTTACACCCATATCAATGCAGCCATTGAGAACTACTGAGTGAGCTGTGATTGGCCACAGCTTGTCACATGGTACAAGGCTGTTGTGAATAGCCTTGTACCATGTGACCTCTGTGATCATTCATTGGCCAATCAGTGATCACATGATCCGGACTTCGTACAGTGGTCCCGTCTGACGATCAGTGTTTCACTGTGTCCGGAGGACACAGCGGGCACCGGATCGCGGTGCTGCGTGCTCCCGGGGAGCGCGCACAAGCAGGGTGCGGGGAGGCCATTTTTAAACGGCCACCCGACCCTGCAGTGCCACCGTCCGGCCGTTTATATACAAGCGGCCGGTCGGGAAGTGGTTAATTCAGAATCCGAGAGAAAGCAGTATCAGAGATAGATAGATAAATATGACAGAAGATATAGTTCAGGAAAGAGGATGTGGATGGGGAAAATGGGTTGGGGGGGGGGAGGGTGGAAGGGTGGGTGCGGGTGGGGTTAATATTGGGGTAAACAGAAATATGTATATGCGAAATATTTTTGCAAATGAGTTGTTCTTTTTGTACTGGAAAATCAAATAACAGTTTAAATGAAAAAAAAAAAAGATCTGTTTTGCAGTATAATTTTTATTGAGCCAGTTAACAAGGGATTTATCATTCATATTTAAATGAAGTCACTTTGAAATCCCCTTTGACTGAGAGGTATGTAAGTTTATCATAGCCATGGCGATTGGGGAAAGAGATTTCATGACCATCAGGAAGCTTCACGTCAAACTTGTCACCACCAAACTTGATTGAGAACTGCAATGGAAATAAAGCCCTGAGTTAAACTCTGCTTTACATAAAGAATTCAACCAATTAATCTGCAGCCGATTGGCATAACTGTTCCATCCCCTCCCTTGTGTTGCACACGTTTTTTTCCTAGCTGTTATTCACCCTATAATTGGAATGTATCAGCGTGCATATTCTAAACATCCTAATAGGGGAAGGGGCAGGAAGACAACATGGCCTCATGGCCAATTAGCCTCTTTGTTGTGCGAGACTTGGACCACCTTTGAACTGGAAAAAAAAATCTAACGATAGATCTTCTTTAAAAATGCTTGTGCTTCTGCTGTGAAATGTGAATATTAATTACCCCAAAGAGCATGCAGCTACAGGGGTTAACTAGGGCTTAACTTTAAGCTGAATTACTGTGATTGTTAGGTCTGTGCAAATATTTGTATTGCTAGTGTTACGGTGGCCGCTAGCAGTAATCACTGTGTTCTCCGGGCAGGGATGGCTCCAAATGACACCCACATTCTACCATGGGTAGTATACAATAGCTCCACAGGAGGGATTCCCCAATCAACACTGACTGCGTTGATGAGGGAACCCAGCGATTTTCTTTCCTGCAAAATTGCATATTCTATGGCCTGCGTTACTCTCTGAGATCTAACTCCAACCTTTTTTTATTTGGATAAAATGGGGAAGAGTTAACATTTTTAGGTTTTATGTATTCCTGTGACCCATTAGGAAGATAATTCCTCATTCCCTGTTCCTTTGACACCAGTACAGGAAATGACGGGAACAGTTTCCAAGAGGACAGGAATGCAGAAACAGCAATGAAAACATTGTCAAAAGTTCTAACTCCTTCCCAGCCTACTAAAAGGAGTTCTTACTATAACAAGAAGTGAGGGGAAATCTTCTCAATAAGAAAACAGACCACAATAAAAAACGCTCCCACTCCATCCAAAATGAAATAATGACCTGTTGTGCAGATATGCAGCATAAAACCACTGCATTTGTGTCTTTACTGCACTCTATACTAGATTTCCTGTAACAGTGCTCTGTATCTGATAACTGTAATGCTGTAATAAAGTGTTACTAAACCCACAAACAGGGTGGATAAAAATCAATGATTTTTTTTTTCTAAAATAAAAAAAATTAGATTTTTAAAAAAAAATAAAAAAAAATAGATTTTTTTTATTTAAATCAAATTTTTTGAATCTTATCAAATTTATTTGAATAAAATGCTTTTGGAGTAAAAACCCTAAAGATAATTTTCTATTTAAAATACATTAATAATTTAGTTTATTCAGCATTAAATGGAGCTTAGTTATGTAGCATGAGGCTGTATATTCTGCAATATTTACATTTTTGGTAAACTCATTCAATGAATCCAAGCTGAGATAAAATGCACTGCATTGATGCATTCACACAATTTCACATGAGAAAAAACATGAAATAAAAGAATTTGAGTAGTTCTCCAACTATGTGTGATTAACCTAAAATCGGTTCTGATATCGCTGTTTTACTAACCTGACAGCTTATTACTCTAAAAAGGAAACCTTCATTTGGTTTGCAAATATTAAAGATTCTAACTACCAGCAAGAATGAGTCGGATTCCTTACATTTAAAGAGCACCTGTAATTTTAGATCCATCATGGCAGCGCCTGTTAACTGGCATCCACTTACCTGCTGCTGTCACGTCCCTTACCTTGTTGTGTCATTGCTGCATCACCAGCCATCACATTAAAGTGAATGGGACTATCGGTAAATCAACAGTGGGTAAGAGGAGGAGCTGCTGCAGGACAGAGATCACAGCAGCTCTTTAAAAATTATGATTTAATTCATCAAGACTTTTCACTAGTGATTTAAATCAACTTGCTTTAAATCAAATCCACCCTACCCACAACAGTAAAATTAGTCTGTATATGCAGTAAAGCATGCTTGTTATGCTCACTGTGGAACCTAAAGGGTTATTCCTCTGTAAAAAGACTGTTTGATCCTGTCTTCTCTGATCCTCCCCTTCTACTCTCTCCTGTGGCAAGCTGCGAATGCTCAGTTTGGTCTGTATTGTTAAAGAGTTTTTTTTTTCCTTGGGAGCATGCATGTGATCAGCACAGGGCCAATCAGCATTGTCCAGACAGAGGGTCAGGGGTTATGCAGCTTCATAGGACAATTGGGGAGAATGAAAACTCCTCCTACGAGCTTTAACCAGTGCTTTGCTAGACATTGATAGAAGCCACAAGCCTACTCTAACTGTTGATGAAAAAAGGTATTTAGCAGTTCATATTTACTAAAATTATTGAATTTCCATATTCTGTGTACTGTGGAAGACCAGACATAGTGAATGCAGGGTCATGGGTTTAGTAACACTGTTAAGTGTTATGATGACATGCCACATGCAAGTAGAACCTGTTGCAAAGCAACCTTTACAGAACAATACAATGTTTATTTAAATGGCATCAGTATTTGATCATGTCAGATGACTTATTTCTGACCTCATCATACTGACCTTGACATCTGTCCCCGGAGTAAAACACATGTGTCCACTTCTTTGTTCTGATTCCCAGTTGTTGCTTCTTTTGGAGTTGCATACAATTACATTTTCATGTAGGCGTGGGTTAAAATGTAAACCTATATCACTGGCGCTGCGTCCCAAATTGAAGGAAAAGCTGTATGAACAAAGCAAAACCTCAGATACAGGACATCAAAATCATAGATTTCAGGTATAACCATTCATGACCAACCTGGTCATATACATGGAATTATAGACAGTTTTGCCAATAAATTATTTCCTTTTTTTTTTGCCATTTTGGACTCCACTGGGAGAGCATCATACACCCCAAAATACCCTTCATTTATGTGCCCAAAGGGCACATGCTGTATGTATTGTCATCTTCCCCCACCCCTACCAATCCTGCCAGCAAATCTTGGCTGTCAAAATGCCACTGCTGTGTAAATCGAAGCTTCTAAACCTCAGGGTTCATCATGAAGGCCTTTGGTACTTCTTGCTTAGTCCAAAGGCTCCAGCATTCAGTAGTCTGTTCTTTGGCTAGGTGCTTATTCAGGAACTATGCAGAAATATAATCAGTAAACTGGGTTCCACTAGCTAAATGATTTGGTTTATTTTTTCAAAAAGTTCTTGCTTTTTCTGTGCTCTCTGTTCATTTGTTATCTGACCTTTTATAATTGATCTTCCTAAGAGGAATATCAAATGTGGTGCCAGTCATATCTACGGTGCTGTAGAGGGCACGGACATGTAAAAGGACTCTAATAATCTAAAGGGATCTTCCATTCACAATACACAGCAGAAGGACAAATCTCCCGACGTGGCTATTGTATTTTGACAGCTGGCCATCTGATTGGATGCAGGCTTTGTTTGATTGACAATTTTCCACCCAGCTCTGTCGATTTTTCAATAAAGGCATATCAGGCGGGAGAAAGCCATCAGGGCCATCCACTGGGCAAATTTCAGCTAGTTCATCAGGAACCAGAAAATATTTGCTCTGTGTATGGCCAGATTAATACCAGTGATCTCTAGCAGTCTTGTCATGTTGCTTAGACAGAAAGAGGTGTACCATGATGGAGGCAGTTCTCAATGTGGCCCAGTAGATCAATGTGTAGAAGTATCAAAGAACAATAGTAAGAACATAAAGGATCTTAATTAAAATATCAAAAGGGCAGATTTGGACTACTCATCTCCAATTACTCACATTGTTTGGCATCTATACATTAATATACTGATTCAACGTATGAAGAGCAGGCACCTGCAGTTTTGTGCAGTGCTTGTTTTACCTGTTAGAGGCACCTGCAGTTCTGTGCAGTGCTTGTTTTACCTGTTAGAAGCTTTTTTAGAGTCATTTTACATGAATGTAGTCATCATATTCAGACTTATAGGAGACACAAGTGTACTATAGAATAATGCTACATGAGACTTACTTCTTGGCATCATCTGGGAGCTTTCCCTTCAGCTTCAGGCCTTCTCCAGATTTGATCTCCAAGTTCATAATTTCAAATTTCTCCTGATGGATGAATAGAATGGAAAAACATAGGAGACTATTTAAGGGTCTTTTTTTGGGGAGGGGGGGGCATAAGATAAATCTCAACATCATTGTTTTAATACAACAATTTCACAAGTCAATATATCTTTAGCAGAGGTTGTTATTCTTCACCAACTCATTCTTGTCTTCTTTTTGTGTCCTAAAAATGGTCAGTTCTATTGGGAACGCTATTATCCTTAAAGAGATATATTATTATTTAAATAAATATTTGAAATTCCAGTAGGTTTAATGGTCCAGTTAAAGAATCATAGTATTGCCCCTCCTAGGGGCCCCTAGATTTCCGGGCAAATATACCAGCAGTGGTAATTAATGCAGACGTGTGTTCCCTTGAAAAAATGCATTTTAAATTCACTAACTGTAACAACCTTAATTTGTCTTGATATCAATCTTCTATAATACCCTGTAGAGAAGAACTCTGTCTGGAAGAGGGAGGAGCACTAGTTAGTGGTCAAGTGTGCTGCATGCAAATATGTTGACAAAAACCATGCCAAAAGGAAAAGAAAAGAGAGGGATAAGTACATCAGTCTGCTGCTGTTCTTCATTGTTAAGTCACAGGCTGGGGCAGGGAGATGAGCTAGCTATATTCCTGAACTGTAGTAGAAAGGCCAGGTCACCAGGCTACCTGTGATGTTTCCTAGGATTTTGTAAATCTTAGGATTTGATGTGATATAAAAATACAAGCCCTGTAACAATCTGTATTTCAGTTGTGCACTTAGGCTGGCCAAAGACGGAGCAAATTTCTTTCCTACAACCACAGACAGTGTTGACAGGGGAATCCCTCCCGCAGAGTCATTGTGTTCTCCCGGTGGGGGGCAGAGGTTGTTGGAGCCGGCCCTGCCAGGAGAACCCAATGATTAGTGCTAGCAGCTATAACAGGTGCTAGCAGCTATAACAGCCGCTAGCAATAATTTAATGTAAAACCTGGCAGGTTGGTTGTACCCAAGTTGATTAATCAATCAACTTGGGTACATTCAGCCTACCCATACATGGTTCGAATCTTGGCCAGTTCCTGCTTAACCGTCCAAGATTTGAACCATCTATGGCCGTCTGGAAGCAAAGATCCCTTTGTTGTCAAAAAAAAAACATTTGAGCTAGATTACAATTTGCCATTGTACATTTAGGCAAAGACAAAACCTTCTGAAACAATATGTTGATAAATCAAAAATAGAGTTGTTTGGCCACAGTAACAGTTGAAATGTTTGGCACAAACTGAAGACCGCATTTTAGGTGAAGAACCTCATACCAACTGTGAAATATAGTGTTAAAAAGTTTATGGTTTGGGGTTAATGGCTGTTTCATGGCTTGGGCAATTTTTAGTCATTGGGTCAACTTTGAATTCTGCATCATATCAACGTGTGCTTGATGAAAATGTGAGGTCATCTGTTCAAAAGTTGAAGTTGAACACAAAAATTGATAATCTGCAACACACTAAAAAATCAACCAAGGAACAGTACAGAAAGAAGAAATGGAGGGTTATGAATTGGCCTAGCCAAAGCTCTGATTTTAATGCTATTGAAATGTAGCACTACCCTCTTAGGGGTTGCTAATGAATTTGGGTCCCCCTATAGCCTCACACAGCCAGTCATTTAGCATCTTCCACACAAGCTCCCATCCGTAGATAGAAATCAGTCCTTCAGCATTTGTTTTGTTATTAGGGGATTATAACTTAGATAGGGTAAGGGTTTGTAGGATGCCCAAGGAAACCGACATCTGAGGACAACTTCCTGAACTATTCACAACTTCTTTTCTCTGATACAATATCTGTTGAATTGCTAGCCAGCAGCTCCTAGTTTTATTACCCCAGACCCTGGATGAATTCCTCTTCACCCAGCAATCTGGAGACTTTCTTCCTGAGCAGGGGAGCTGGCTCCTGTTCCTTTAAATAAGGTGCACAGTTACTAGCAGAGGGCTAATCTGGTTTTCCACCAGAGTGCTCCTTCCCCTATCAGCCCAGGGGGTGCAGGTGTACTCACTCAGATCCTCTCCTGTACCACTTATGAGATGTCTGCTGCTACCATACCTATCAGCTGGGCTGCTCCTTCCCTGCAATACAGGTGGTCCTCTCTCAGGGGCCCAGTGAGTCCCAAGTTTTCCTTCTCTCCAACTCCAGGCTCACAGGCAGGCTCCATCCCACTAAGCCTCTTCGCAGCCTTCCACTTCCAGTCTCACATCTTCCTGTTCTTCTCTACACCTCTCCCTCCTTCACTCCTGTTACTCAACATGCTCTTACACTTTTAAGGGAGTCCCAGCCCCTTGCCAAGAATTCTGTTGGGGATTGGCTGAGGTCCCTCAAGAGCGCAGCCAACCACTCCACAGATCCACCCACTGCCTCCAAGGCCCTCCTCCGAAAGCATCAGGCAGGGGGAAATTCCACATGGGCTGGCCTGCAGTGTCTCTCAGTCCTAACCAGAATTTGACCCCTCCGGCTATGTCACCTGAGCTTCTAACCAGCTCCCGACTGACCATTTCGGTCTAGCTCCTCCTAGCTGCACTAAGAAGGTACTACAGAAATATTGTGGGGGCATCTCTCACCAAGCAATCCACGGAAAGGCTCTGCCCCCTGATCCCTCCTTAGAGGATTTGATTGACAGCAGCAGGAGCCAATGTTGCTTGTTGCTGCCTCTCTGTCCTGTGAATGCAAGGAGAGAGAAGCTACAAACAAGCACAGTGCTGGATTGAGTGAGGACTACAGTATACAGTATACAGGGGAGTGAGGGGTCAATGCTAATACTTATCTTAATGCATGGAGTGCCACTTTAAATCAAGATTCCAAAATATTTTTAAATATAATGATTGAAATTTGCTACTGAAGCAGTCTGTGCATTTTTTTTTTTGTCTTTAATTTTTTTGCTGTCATTTGATGCCAAAAATTAATTTAAAAATGTACATCAGGATCATCTGAACATGAAAGTTTGGCTTTCATAGAGTGTTTTATAATCTAGTTAAAGCTATTTATAGGATTTGCCAAACTAAAATAATTAGTTGAAGTTTTCTTGGCTTCGATAACCATTTCAAAGGGGAAATGACGGTATGCCTACTTTCACATCTGCTTTTTAACTTTGCCCTGAGACCTCTGGCAATAATCTTGAGAGGCTTTAAGAAAAAACGATGCCCCAGATCAAATCTATACATCTCAAGAATTTCAGCAAACTTTTTTGCAGACTCTTCCCTTTTCTTATTCAACTTTGACAACACTTATCAAACCAATTGTGACGTTTAAAAATTCTGTTCAGTTATTACCTGCTCATTCTGAGGTCAGATTCACAAATATGTGTTTTGTTTTGAAAGCCCATTCAAATACATGGGTTGCCTTAAAGTGGTAGTAATTTCTACTTTTAGTCCTCATGCACACTGGACATTTTACAGCTCCTGTTTTTGGCTTTTGATATTTTTTTCTACAACCAGTAAACCCCCCAGCATGTTATCCTATGTGTCCATGCACACATATACTGTTATCAACGTTTTTTGGCAGGGGCGTTTTTTGGCTGGAAAAAAACCCCAGAACTAGTGGAGCCTTAAGTTTTCTTTTAATGGTCCCCATGCAAGCTCAAGCATTAGTGTGCTAGTATGCACCACATACTAGCACATTATGACAAACTTACCTATAAATGGAGTTTTTCAGCAATGCACTGTCACCACTGCCTGCGCTTTCACCTTCACCCGGTCTTTCTTCTGGGTTTGTACTCTCCAGTGTTTGAATGTCCATGCCGCAATGACATCACTCCCAAGCATGCAAACGGGAGTCAAGACTGTGGCACAGTGCCATCTGCACTGACAACACACTTAGTGTGCCCTGAATGCAGAACTACTGCGCATATGCTGGTGACGTCGCCAGCTGCACCCACTGTGAAGAGCTAAATGGCACAAGTTTAGAAGATAGTCACGGTACCCACAACAATTCTTATCATAACCTTACCTGTTGGTACAAGTTAAAAAAAACAATTTACTACCACTTTAACACAAGTATTGGTACACCACATTGGACCACACAAATGTGAACAGACTCTGAGTGTTTGGATGAAAAAAAATTCAGAGCAAGGCACTGAGCCATATAAATTTCAAAGGGAATTTCTGGCAGTGTTCTGGTCACAAGCAGTGAAATGAATGTCCCTTGTTTGTTATCACTGGAAGAAGTAACATTTTTATTTTCAGTCAGTTTTACAAAATTATAGTTGATAGCTGTGGGCTTGAAGGAGTGCCAACCACTAACATTGCTGAGGTCCTATACTAAAGGTTTAAAAGGTGTAACCTGGGCCACAATCCTTTTAGGATGCTTAGCAGGAGATCACATCCTCACTGCAGCTCAGGGCTCCCTCTCTTCCAGCTACTGACACAGCATAGAGAAGAAGAGGAAGTGGCAGCCATTTTGCTGGAGGAAATAAGCAGGACTGGGATTGGCTGACTTTCTGAGCAACCAGACTAAATCCCACCCAAGAGACAGAAAGAGGGGCAGAGCTGCAGAGAACTAGAGAAAAAAAAGGACAGTGGTGTGTTGCTGAGTGAGAAGACTCAGTATGATGGACTGTCTGGCACCCCATCTGGGTGCCTCCACCAAACAGTGCCTCCTGCTGTTCAAACCTTTCCAGCAGACCGATAGCTAATACCAGCCCTTTACCCCAAGCATTATACTCAGACAAGATGTGGAGATAAAACCAAAGAAATAACTGTTTATTTAAACCCATACACAACTATTTATTAAAACCCATACACATAGTGTATACTCCCAGGAGGACATTCCCCTCTTAGGGATATTACCATAGATAACATAAGATAAGGTAAGATGTACAATCAGTAAAAACAGTACAATCTAACCTTTAAACATTAATCTAATGCATTGTTTCTCAACCCTTTTTCAGCCAAGCACCCTTTAAAACTATGGACAATCTCAAGGTACCCTTTAACATTCTGCACAATCTCAAGGCACCCCATTCTAAAATGTAAAAAACTATTCTAATAGTTTT